ACAACGGAAACAACACGTCAGTGCTGTTTGGAATGGGAATTCATTAGTTTAAGCTCAGCATGTCATGTAGTGTCGCTATGAAAAGTGTCAGTTCCTGGGTGCATGTGGTGCAATACCGTGTGACAGATACTTGCTTTCTCTTTGGCCATTTCCCTCTGAAGACTGTCAAGGATGCAGTGTGACTGATGAGGCCACTGGAGGCCCCTCCACATAGCTCAACACTCACTGCAAAGAGCACAAGAGTAACAGTGGTTGTTTTGAAAGTAACACTTTATCAATAAAACGCATCAGATGGCCCTAAAAGGGGCCAGACAAATGGTTCAGTTCTGACCTACAACTGCCTGGTGTAAATGAGAGAAAACATAGTTTTTTAGCTCAGAACCCCAGAAACTTTCCATTCAGTTCTCCAAGTAAACGGGAGGAACATGAATCATTTGGAGTTGCCTTAATTTTTGCACAAAATCAATTCAAGGGGGACGTTAAACTGCAGAGACAGAGGAAGCACTCAGAGTAATCACTAGCACATCAAAGTCTTATCTGCTTCTTCCTGCTTCTTCCATATTCCAGCGGGCCTTACTCCTCCTCACTTAAAATTCCTCCCTTTTAGGCAGTTTTTAATCTCTCTTCCAGATTTCCACTTCAGTTGCTCAAGTGGTAGTTAATGCCATAAAGTTGTCTTAGTAGTCCAGTATTTTATTAGAAGATATAATAGAAATTTGGCCTTACTCAAATTTTGAAGGCATATATAGGTTTATTGTTTTTAGGAACACGAGTCCAATGCCACCAAGACCTCAACTATAAAGTCCATCAATCGGTAATCTGCTTATTGTCTTTTGATTATTAGGACCCAGGATGTAGCAATGAAGCTGGAATAAGGTTTCTGAGTTTGGAAAAACTGGGTTGGGCTCTATTCTCCCCCAGTTGATAGAGGAAGGAATCACCATTGGTGATGATGAACTGATGACAAAATCCTAAGAGTTACAATCTATTTGAACATCTACTCTGAGTCAGACGCAATATCAACTACTTTGGATGCTTCACGGTGTAACCCTCACAGTGATTTTACGAATCAGATGTCTGTGGTAGGCAGAACGTTAGGATGGCCCCCATGATCCCCAGCCCCTGCCGGCCGTGCTCTGAATAATCCCCTCCCCGGGTGTGAGCCGGGCTTGTGGATATGACAGAACACTGCTCCCGGGATTACATGACTTTATACAGCACGTGGGATTCTGTGGAAATATAGAATATTCCCAATCAGTTGGCTCTGAGTTTATTGGAAAAGATCTGAGATCACGCTGGGTGGGCCTGGTCCAAGTAGGTGAGCCATTAAGAATAAAAGACATTCGAAGCATGGGAGACTCTATGTGGCCCGGAAAGAGCAAGTGCCCTGTTGTAGGGGACTGTGGTGTCATCCAGGAACTCATACAGGTGCCTGTTGTCAGCAGGGGGGCCGGAGGGCAGGGACCTGGTGGAGAACAGCAGAGGACTAAGTTCCGGATGACAGCAGTGATCCTGGAGGAGGCCTGCCAACCTCGGCTGAAACGGAAGCCCTAGGCCCTAGTAGACGCCCTGATTTTCACCAGTGGGTCCCCGACTAGATGCCCCAGCCCCAGCCCCTTCTGAACACAGAGACTGTGTGATGATTAGTCAGTGCAGTTTTAAAGGGCTCTTGCACTCTTAAAAACTGAGAACAAACTGAGGGTTGATGGGGAGGGTGGGTGATGGGCATTGAGGAGGGCACCTTTTGGGATAAGCACTGGGCGTTGTATGGAAACCAATTTGACAATAAATTTCACATTAAAAAAAGCAGGGGGGCTCTTGCTGGGAAAAGTCGCTACAGAGCAACAGAAAAGTCACGAAAACTTGGCACCTTATGTTTCCTCCCGTCTTTTAAGTAAGGACACCGCCACCTTGAGCTATTCAATAGGCACCCATTTCATAGGTGCTCACTGGACCAACTCTGCTTCCCCTGAACCTGCGGGCTGCGGCCGGGGATGCAAGTCCAACAGAAGCACAAGTCCATGGGCTGGGCGCAGGGACAGACACCCACGACTGGCAACAAGACAGACACAGAGGCCCAGAGCCGGGTCCACACTGGACAGCCACGGGGTGGTGAGCCCAAAGCCCGACAGCGCTGCAGACACCTGCGGCCTTGCGGGAAGCCGGGGGTGGGGGGTGGGAATTTGCGGATTCCCGACTGTGCACCTGCCACCGCGGGGGGAGCAGCACCTGCGGATTTGCTGGGAGGGGCAGGGATGGGGGCACCTGCAGATTTGTGACTATACTTTCGGATTTGAGACTGTGCACCTGCGGCCTTGTGGGGGCGCACCTGGGGCCTTCACCCTTGCTCTTGGGGACTTGAGGACATGCACCCATGGCCTTGTGGGGCGCGCTGTGGCCAAACAAATCAGCCTCCACTGTAATAGTGGGGGTTGTAAGCAAAAGAAAGAATCGCCCCAGAGTTTAAAGCATCTTTTATTCTATTCAAGAGAATCGAGTATTGTGGCTCAGAATGAATCAAAACAAGAATAAGAGAAATGAGGTGAGCTTTAGAAAAAGAGTTAATGGTTTGGGAATTTGTGAAGAATGGTAAGTACTGGAGTGGCACTTGTGGGGAATGCAAGACATTCACAGGTAAATACACAAAACTACCTTACATACATTGAACAGTCATGTTTTATGTACGGTGAGAATGCTTAAGTCTCTCGCAGCAACTCTCAAGGATGCAGTATTACTAACTCCTGTCACCAGGCTGCCCATCCGATCCCCAGAATTCATTCGACCTCTCCAAGTGTGTGCCCTGTGGCCAGGATCTCCCGCTTTCCCTCAGCAGGTTGGCACACACATGCAGCTTTGTCCCAAAATGTTTAGTAGGGAAAGGAGCAGAAAAGATGGGGAGGAAGCAGTGAGATGGGTTAGTTGGATGCTGAGTGACTAGGAAAAAAAATGGAGGTCCTGAGGAACTGGGTTCGGACCAATTCAAATGGAAAGGCTTCTAAATGTTTATGTACTTATTTTGAGAGAGAGAGAGAGAGAGAGAGAAAGCAAGCACGGGGGAGGGGCTGAGAGAGAGCAGAGAGAGAGAATCCCAAGCAGGCCACACACTGTCAGCAGAGAGCCATGTCCCGGCTCAAACCCTGGAACCATGAAGTCACGACCTGAGCTGAAATCAAGAGTCGGACACTTAACCGACCAATCCACCCTCAAATGGAAATATACTAAAAGAGGAATAAACAGGGAGTTAAGGTACTGATCCACTCATGTTTGGTGTTCTTTCCACTAAAAAAGAGTACTCCCACCACGAACGTGTTCCTTTTGGGGACTGCGTGGGAAAGTTCATCACTCCTCCTTATTCTTTTACAAACTCAGCAAGTAAGCAACTGGGGAGGGGGCCTCAAATCCATGTTTCTGTCTCACTGCCCCCCCCATCATAACAGGATTTATGTAAAACTATTAAAATTTACTCACAAGACCAGTCAGCATAGCATGTATTTCCCACAGAGACAGAAGAGGAAAACTTCTGAAGTTCCATAGCAATAAATAGCTCTTGGAGTTGTGGCTAAAACCACCCCTGGATGACCTCACCGGGCCCTCAGTACAGAAATGTAGGGAAGATGTAGATGATGTATCGGTATGGGCTCAACGTGCCACATTATGTGACTCACTCAGGGCAACATTACCTCACCACCTTACAGTTAACAAGAATCCTTGTGTCCTTGGCAGCCTGATAGCCTCTTACACAGTGACTTAGAGTGACCTATAGAAAATAGAGCCTCGAACTGCTCTTAGAGACTCATAGATTGTTTCCTGCAGAGGAAGAATATAGAGAGCATAAGGAAGAAAAATAAAATAATTAGAATAAGGGACGCCTGGGTGGCTCAGTCGGTTAAGCGCCTGACTTCGGCTCAGGTCATGATCTCACGGTTCGTGGGTTCAAGCCCCACATTGGGCTCTGGGCCGACAGCTCGGAGCCTAGAGCCTGCCTTGGATTCTGTGTCTCCCTCTCTCTCTGCCCCTCCCCTGCTCATGTTCTGTCTGTCTCTCTCTCAAAAATAAATAAATATTAAAAAAAAATAAGAACCTTTAAAAAATAATTAGAATAAAATAAAAACCCATTGAGAAAGGACTAGTATGGAGTCTGGACAATTATGTAATTGGCTGTCATCAAGTTGATCACCAAGCCCTGTCCTCAAACATAAACTGGCATTGATTTAGAGCAGGTGAAAATATGACTTTGATATGCTGTTTGAGATTACTCCTCATCCCATATTTGGGATCTCACCAACGCTATGCTACTTCTGAAGATGATGGGAGCTATGCCAAACTCATAATGAACCAACCAACCAACCAACCAACCAACCAACCAACCAACAGAACTTTGGCACTGTAGTCCTAGCTGAAATAACTTCAATTTTTATTTTTTTATTTTTTATTTTTTATTATTTTTTTTTTAAATTTTTTTTCAACGTTTATTTATTTTTGGGACAGAGAGAGACAGAGCATGAACGGGGGAGGGGCAGAGAGAGAGGGAGACACAGAATCGGAAACAGGCTCCAGGCTCTGAGCCATCAGCCCAGAGCCCGACGCGGGGCTGGAACTCACGGACCGCGAGATCGTGACCTGGCTGAAGTCGGACGCTTAACCGACTGCGCCACCCAGGCGCCCCGTTAGAACACTTTTAAGAAGACAGTCTGTCAATTCAGCAATTTCAATCGGAAAGAGGAAGAAACTCTACATTTGTGTGAAATCATTGAAAACAGAAAAATTTAGGCATTACTGTGGGGACAGAAATACGATCATATTCTTTAATAGAGAAAAATATAAGCGTATTAAGGTTTAAGAGAAAGAAACAAAATAAATACAGATGAGTTATTGACACTAGTGTTTAGAAGAAATGATGTAATAAAATAACTTTCTACCCAAACTGCCCAGACATGAGAATAGTTGACAAAGATGGTAATGAGCAAATCATCCCCAAGGTTGTACGGGCATAAACTTACCCATCACTTTCCAGGGATGCTGTGGCAGAATCCAAGCATCAAATGGGAGACTGTATTCGGGCAGGTGGCAATTGGGTGGTTTGAGGACTAAATGCAGCCCTGTGATTTCTTTGTTTGGCTGTAAGATATTATTCAAAAAGAAACAAATTTGTTTCCATACAAAATTTAGAGGATTTGGCATGAAAATCTTAATTTCTTGCATATCTTAGAATATCTCTTGGCACTTGTGCATCAGAAAATTTAGCAAAATTGGACTCTGTTATTTGTGGCAACAATAAATAAGAGGCAGGAGTTACTGGCCCCTTTAGACAAATTTTCTTGTCTCCATTTAACCACAGGCAGAAGTGGTTAATTCCCTACATTCCCAACACTAACTACTAATTGCCATTTCTCATCTTATCTGAGCTGCTGTTCTACTTTCTTCCCCTTAATTACCTTCAGGGCTCTACAGGCATTCTGCTTTTCTATCTTTGGACTAGATAAAGTAAGATGCCTTCTAACCTGGAATTTTTTGAGTTATTTATTCTGACTTGATAATAGAAACTTCCAGGTCCTTACCAGTTCACTTAAGCCAGTGCACATCTAGGAAAATGATATCATATTACTAATAAAAAGTTAACTGAGTAAACAGTTCACCCAAGAGCACATAGCTAGTTAGTGACAGCTCTCAAAATAGGGCCCTTGACTCTTGATTCCCTGTGTATTAGGAATTATAAACTGTTAATCAGACACCCAGAAAACCTAGATAGATTTTGGTAAATCACATTTTTCTGTAATCCAGTTCCAAATAGCCTACCTACTTTTTTTAATTTTTAATTACAGATATATTTATATTTATATTTATATTTATATTTATATTTATATTTATATTTATATTTATATTTAAATAAAACAGCCCATTATCATGTAGGTACAACCTTTGAAAGGTATAAGACTGTCTAAAGCAGAAATTCTCCAATACCATTTATGATTGTGTCATTCAAGTAAAGAGTATTAATATAAATGTATTAAAAATATAAGCAACCAAAACCATATTGGAACATATATTATCTAATTCTATTATTTAGAAGGGAAAAATATAAATCCATGCACAATGCTACTGAGTTCACACTTCTTATCTGACACTGCACTGAGGCTTCTCAGATGTAGTATCTATTTTAATCATCACTTATTATTAATCAGATAACTTTATTATCCCTGTTTTGCAATCAGAGACCTACAAATGTTACGATCACAAGTTACTCAGAGCCAATCAGTCTAATTCTAAAACCTATGGGCTACAACTGTCTACGGTTTTATCATTGGACAAACCTCCTTCTCTCTCACATGGCTTTAATAGGATCTATTGTGTGGAAGTGGTGGTGGGCCCATAGGACCATGACTGGGCACACCATTGTTTACGATCTGCACGTGAAGGGAAGGGGGGAGTCGCAGGTTGGTATATTCAGAGCCTAGAAAGCGATGGTACCAATCATGGATGTCCATGTCTTTGAAGTAAGTTAGGACCTGGTTACACATTGGTCCCATCCTGTGGTGGCATTTCAGAATTATTTAGCTATTATATGATCATTTGATATTCTGATGTTAGAACTCACCTAGTGTGGTCATTCGAAATTCCCATGAAATCTGTCAGAAACATTTTTCCATTGCCTCGTATGTGTTCAGAAAGGATCGGGAGAGGACAGTTGTTTCTAGCCATGATGGACTACAGAGAGAGACACAGTCCCTGCCTTGCCCTAGTGGTTCAGAGGTTAATTAGGGCAATCCACCCCACAGTGAGAAAGCTAAGAAAATGAAATCGTCAGTGCAAATTCAGAAGAAGAAAATTTTTTATAGTAACATAAACCACCTAGTTCTGAACTTAATTGCTAGTTTACTTGACCTAAAATAGAAGAATTATGGATGGATAAACTATAGCAATAAAAAAAGAAAACTAATTACAGAAAAAGATACTGCTCGTGGTGAGTGTTTTCAAAAGCCATTACTTTTAACACATATAAAAGCTGTGAATAAGGGGCTCCTGGGTGGCGCAGTCGGTTGAGCGTCCGACTTCAGCCAGGTCATGATCTCGCAGTCCGTGAGTTCGAGCCCCGCGTCAGGCTCTGGGCTGATGGCTCAGAGCCTGGAGCCTGTTTCCGATTCTGTGTCTCCCTCTCTCTCTGCCCCTCCCCCGTTCATGCTCTGTCTCTCTCTGTCCCAAAAATAAAATAAAAACGTTGAAAAAAAAAAAGCTGTGAATAAGCTTACGTGGAAAATTAAAGGCTTGAACAAGGGGAGACTGTGTGTGTGTGAACACACTTGTGTGTGGGAGTGTGTGTGCTGTTGTATCTTGGTGGTGTCAATCAGCTAAAAACAAAACTTATTCAAATAACACAATGATACTGTCCCCAGTAGGCAAAGGCATTTAAAAGGCAAAGGCATTTAAAAGACAAAGTGAAAAGGCATTCAAATACGTCTTAACAGAAATACTGAAAATAAATTCATGTAATTGTATTCAAAGTGACAATACCTTTGTGCCTTGCAGGACTGGAAAAGTAATTAAAGGGAAGTTATTCTCAGAGCTAGAAAGGCTTTAAAGTGTCATCATCAGGGCCGTGTTGACGTTGCTCAATGAATCCTTGACCACTGCTTCCATTTTGGACACTGCTGGACAGAGACATTTTCTCCATAACATTGCTCCCAATTCTTCTGGGTGTTGATTCAATTCACAGCTCTGCTCTGTCCAAGTCAGAAACCGACACTCAGGAAATAGGTTCAGTCCTTATGGATCATAGATGATGTTATCTACATGGGAGAACCTGGCTTAGGAAAAAGAAAGAGAAAAAAGGATTGAGTTCATTCTGCCATAGTTTTATTCATCTGATGGCTTTCACTTTGTTTCCTTCATTTGATCTGAATACATACAAACTAAGAGGAAAGCTCTGGATTTTCCCACATATCCTCACAGAGTTTTGTTAGCCCAAAACCTCCCAAAGTCAATGACTAATCCAACATGAACTTTCTCTACTGAAATTTATGACCACATAAAAGTCTTACTGGCATAGAGTGGTGTTTTACACACAGACTCTGGGGCCAGAGTTTGAATTACGGTTTTTCCAGCAGTTGACCTTTCTGATATTAGACCTTTCGATGCTGTACTTTCCCCATCTAAATACGGGAAAAGTAAGAGACCTCCCTTTGTTATAGGCTAATATGCATAAAGTCTTAATGGAGGAAACACAAAAGAGAAGTGTGCTGTATTAAACTAAGCTTAGGCATGTCAGCTCGACTGTAGGAGAAGGAGGCTGGCTGGCAGACGATGGGATGCCCTTCTGACGGCCTCCCAGAAGCCTCCTGTCAGGTCAGCAGCAGGCAGGATGCCAGTCGGCTTAATATCTCCATTAATTACGTGTGGCACCTTCAACAATGAGATGCCAGCAAGGGAGGGGAACGTTTCACACGTTTATGGTTCCCCTGCCTCTGAAACAGGCTGTCTGCAAGCATACAATGATCCATAGGTGATAATCCATAGGTGAGCTCAGGAGTGAGCCCCAATGACTCCCGCTAGTGGTTTCTTAGACTTATCAGCTGTGGACCATAAGACCCATCAGGTTTCCACATCATCCTTTACACATACATCTCAAAAATGTATCTTTTTTTTTTTTAAAGCAATGTAATATCTTAAAAACATTTCAATGCAGATTCCTATTTTCTTTCTTAAATGGGCAAAAGGAAAAGAGAAACGGCCAGTACCCTTTTGTCAGTGAGTAATTTAGTCATTTCAATGCTGTGACTTTTATTTACGAAAGAGATAAGAGATTCTGTCTGTTCCAGATGCGATCATGAAACATCTCTGAGTTATAAAATTTCACCTTCGGTTTCCTTAGAAATGAACTCCCTTGTGAAAATGAGGGACATCACTTGTGTGTCCTACTCATTTTCAATTCGAATATCTTCAGGATTTCATGTTTAAAGGAACAGACTTTAACAAGTCAAACGCTATGATTGGTTTGATAATACATTTTTCTAGCTCTGGCTGATTTTATGAATTGATCATACAAGATTACTCATTTAAAAAATTATATTCCAGAGAGCACTACTTTTAATGGTGAGAAACACCTAGTTCTACAAAAATCTGATCTGAGACTCTCTTTTATTGGGTAAAATAGGAATATGGCTGTGTTTAGACATCTGAATCCCTTTGTCTCATTGGGTCTTTTGGTTTTGAACTCAGTCTTTAACACAGAGTAGGGGCTATAAAGCTGTTCTTGCTGTGCTGAAGGTAGTCGACACGAGGCAGTCATGACTGCCGGCTAGCTTGTGTCCAACAAAATGCTGTCTGTAATGTAGACTCAGTATCAGTGAGATAATGTCTGCCCTATTAATTTTAAACAACAACTCTTTTCACTTGGCTACTTAAAACTTGAATCCATTAATGACTGCTGTTTGCCAAATGTGTATTTATCAGAATTGGAAGAGGTGAGAAAGTGTTCGTTCGTCCACTGACAAACGATGGCACAGATGGTTCCAGATATGTAAAGTGAAGCCAATTAACTTCAATAGTGCCTAAGACACATCTCTTCCCTAGACACTCAGCATCTAGTGGTTGACAGAGACAGGGAAATAGGCGATTACAACCCAGTGTAGCATGTTTTACCATACATTTAAGTAAAGCATGTGCACAAAAGGGGCCATAGCAGTCAGAAACCTTTTCCGATTCAGGAGAGTCACTACCACAACTGGAAAAAGAACATAAAATGCATACTGCATTGAAAGGGAGCCATGTTCTCATCCACCACCTTGTAACGTAGGTATTTGTGTCTATGGTAGTCATTGCGTTCCCAAGAAGAGAAAACTATGTGCCAGCAGAGTGGAGAGTAAATCCAGGACTCCTGAACTGCCTCCATGAATGCTTCCTTTTGGAAATAGTGAAATTAGTAGGAATGGAAAACTTTATTAACACCTTTTACTCATTTTCTTATTTTATTATATATTTATTGACAAGTAGACAAAAACTTATCAAAATTTATATGAAAACTATCCACTAAATATCTAAAGATAGATATGGGAAAATTAATCAAATGACATCTTGCAAAAGAAAACATTTCCCTCGAGTTGTTATAAAATTCCTTGATGATGCTGGAAGTTACAACCATTTTAATAGAAACTCTGTGTGGAGTGCTTGTTGACAAATTATTCTATCTTTGGTAGGAGTAGAGAGAAACGTAGTTCCATAGCTAGGCAAATTCTATGGTATTTTATGGTGTTATAAGATTTACTATAACCTGAAATGATATATTGTATATCTTCTAAAAATCGTTCCCTTAGTGATTTAGTGGAAAAACACTTTCCCCTTCATCTGTGCTACTGTAAGAGAGTGACTCATTATTGTGACAAGTGGACCCATCAGAGCTACCTGCAGGCCAGGCTGCCCAGATTAGTAATGACCTGGGAAATAAATTGGCCGTTCGAGAACTTTCTACTCAGCTGGAGGAGAGGTGGTGACATCACAGGGTCATTCTAGCCTGTAACTGCTGCTCAGAGTAACAGGCCTGAATCCCAACGGCTTGTTGAGCTATGTCAGCATCACACCCTTACCTCCCAAACTGATTTACAGGCTAAGGGCAAGCCCAGTGTACAGGTATCTGAAAAATAACACCTTGGTGTCATTTATCATAGGAGAATAGCTTTAAGCAGAACATATGATTAAAATGATTCGCAATTGGCCTCTGGAGTCAGCCAGATCTGGGTCCAAATCACAACACAGTCATTTATTAGATTTGTGACCCTCAGAAATCTCCTGTATTGTTCAAAGTTTTTATTTTCTTAGCCCCCAAAATGAGGTTACAATCATTTACATCTCAGAGAAGGTGGTGAGTTTGCATTTACTCCTCACTGAACAGCTATTTATTCATAGTTAACCTGTGTTAGGCATGTTCATGGGCAAATCCTTCCATCCTTAGGTTGCATTTTGGTTTATGGTGATAGCCAATACACAAGTGAATATAAAATACATAGACTGTGACATCTGCTGTGCGTATATTATGTGTGCTATGATATGACAGAGTGTAAGTGAAAGAGGCTATGTTATAAAGAATCACCATGGAAAGGTCCTCTGAGAAGGTGACATTTGAATGAAAAAGAGAATGTCTTCTGTGTGAAAAGCTTGGAGATCTCAGAAAGCCAAAGGAACAGCAAAGAAAAAGTCTCTGTGCCAGGGAAAACCTTAGAACATTCAAGGATAGACTTTAGGATAAGAGGAAAATGACCAAAGCAAACAAGAGTGAAGAATTAGGCAGAGGCTCAGGGAGAGATGGTGGGATTCCATTTAAGAAAAATAAAGATATGAACATGATCTGACGGGCATCTTCAAAAGACCACTCCTGCTGCCTGAAGAGGAAGGAGCCCCGCCTGGAGGTAGAGAAACCGGAAGCGGTGAAGGCAGCAGGGTAAGAAATACTTGGATCTGAATTAGGGGGACAGCCACCAAGATGGAAGAAGTCATTGGATTCAAGATCTACTCTGGAGATTTGAGTCCACAGGATCTAACAGTAAATTGCACGGAGGAGACAAGGGAACATACACATGCCATCCAGTCTGACCCGCAGGGCACTGGCCTGAGCAGTAAGGTCATATTGGTGCACAGATCTCAGACACAGGGAGGTGGGGGGGAAGCATGCAGTTACAAGTGATAGCTGGGCATCCCAGGGTTACTGTCAGGCAGGCGGCTCCTGGACACGCCCAGAGTTTGAGAGTGATCAGGGGTGACTGGAGCGAAATGGCACGGATCCCACAGAATGCGTGGCTCAGGGCTTGGCGTGTACTGTGGCCTTAGTGACTGAACGCTTCTATAAAATGGGGACTGTTTCCAAAGTGAGCTCTACAGAAAAATTTCTATTCGGAAATTTTCTAAATTGGGCCTTTGAATGACGAATAGCAGACAGAGGATGCCGTTTCTACCTCTTACATGCAAATGCTATTTAATTTCCACAAGGGCAACAGAAGGAGTAATGATTACGTGCTGCCCTCACAGCCTGGCTTCAGTTAAAGAATCTCTGTGAGTCCAACAGCATATTCGTGTGACAAGGACGGCGGGAGACAAGCCCACATAGGTGTCCGATGTGGGCACTGTTGAAACTCCAGGTCTGCTGCCTGCTTTGCTCTGGCACTATGAAGTAGCTCCAAACACCTCTCAGCCTCAGGTTCCACGTCTGCGAAATGCAGATAATAGCAGCCATGGCAGGGGCTTTGCGGGGATTAATTAAACACGGCAACGGAATCAGATAGCATACGAGGACCTGATAAATTTTCATAAGTGTAAAAGGGCAACCAATAGCCTTTGCAATACGTTATTATGAAAAAGACTGTCAAGGAAAATCACAGAATTAACAGAAGAGTATTTTAAGAAATCAAAGTGTTAGAAAATAAAACCCTGATGATTTCACCACACATACCTCGGCCTTAAAAAAGGACAGGCGTCTTATTACAGAGATCTGGAGCAAGGTCTGGGAGAGACTTCTTAGCAATATGTAGTTCCCAAAATAAGCAATAGCTTCACCGAGGAGTTACCATAATGGGGAGCACATTCGAACTTATGCATTATTCACGTTTTTTTCTGAATCTGAACTAAGCGATGAAAAATAATGAAAGGGAGAAGCTTGTAATAGATTTTTGTAAAGCTGGTACAGGCTTGTGTTAAACTGACACACGTCTGTTACAGGAGAGCTCCTGTGAGCATTACGATTCTGTCCATTTCTTCTGGTAAAGAGGTAACAGACTCTCCTACTTTGGAGACTGATTTCCCTACT